CTGGAGCTTTGCGTCAAGAGTGATGCCAAGAAAAACAGTGGATACAACAGGGCTCAATTCCTCCCCATTTAAAAACACATTGGTATTCAGATTTTGAACATTCGTTGTTGTAAATTTAACACAATTAGTTTTATTTCCGTTCAAATGCAGATTATTAACGTTAAACCAATGCACTAATTTTGATATAGCATTATTCACTTCGTCACATTTAAATGATTGACGTTTAAGTTTAAAAATCAAGGAAGTATCATCAGCAAATAATACTATATCATGACTATCCCCTACAAGGTGAGGTGAATGTGTTGCTACAGGGAATGAAACTATTTATTCCATCATCTGTGGTACCCATCGGAGGCAGATCTCAGCCTTAGTTTGGTCGCTCCTGTAACTGACTGCATTACACAGTAAGCAGGAGTGTTATCAAACCTGGGCTGCGGCTTCGGCGACTCGGGATGTAAACACCATCACACTTAAAAAGAAGTATAACTTCGCCTCCAGGTCCTTCAAAAGAGTTATTGCCAAGGCAAAGTCAGAGCACATAGGCAGAATTGGCGAGAAACTAGTTCGCCTTCCTTCGGGAACCCGTGCATTCTCGTCTCTCGCCAAGGCTGTCCAAGGGAATTTCTGTAAGCCATCATTACTATCTCTGCACAGGGAGGACGACTCACTGGCCCAAGACGCAAAAGACAAAGCCGACCTTTTAGGCTCCCTTTTTGCGTCCAACTCGACTCTTGATGACGGGGGGAAAACACCGTCGACCATCCCGCGGTGTGAGTGCTCCATGCCGGATGTGCTATTCTCACAGCACTCGGTTCGCAAAGCACTCCTCTCTCTGGACATCCAGAAGTCGAGTGGGCCTGACGGAATCCCCCCAATTGTGCTGAGGACGTGTGCTCCGGAGTTGGCACCGGTCCTAAAGCGTCTTTTCCGGTACTCCTACTCCCAAGGCGTAGTCCCGAATTCATGGAAGACAGCTTTTGTCCACCCGATCCCTAAAAAAGGCGACCGCTCAGACCCGTCCAACTATAGGCCTATCGCGATCACCTCCTTGTTCTCCAAAATAATGGAATCAATTATTAACTGCCAGCTCATGCGGTACCTTGAGGATCACCAGCTGATTAGTGAGCGCCAATACGGTTTTCGTCGGGGTCGATCAGCTGGTGATCTTCTGTCTACCTGACCCATAGATGGGCAGAGGCAGTAGAGTCAAAGGGGGAGGCGTTGGCCGTTAGTTTGGACATTGCGAAGGCCTTCGATCGGGTTTGGCACAAAGCGCTTCTTTCGAAGCTCCCTTCCTATGGGCTTCCCGAGAAATTGTGCGATTGGATCACCAGCTTCCTTGCAGATCGAAGCATCAAGGTCATTGTAGACGGTGCATGCTCCGACTATAAGCCTATGAACACTGGTGTTCCACAAGGCTGTGTGCTATCACCAACGCTGTTTCTTCTGCATATCAATGATATGTTGCTAACTGGTAACATTCATTGCTATGCGGATACACTGGCCGTGCAAATATTTCTCGGGAAAACGTCGCCGAGTACCGGAACAAACTTGTGTCTGAAGTCGAGTCTTTGCTGAACAAAGTCTCGGATCGGGGGCGACTAAATCTAGTCCAGTTTAATCCTCAGAAGACACAAGTTTGCGCGTTTACCGCTAAAAAGAACCCCTTTGTCGTATCTCCTCAGTTTCAAGGCGCTCTCCTTCTTGCCTCAGCCAGTATCGGAATCCTCGGAGTCGACATATCGAGTGACGTGCAGTTTCGTGGTCACTTGGAAGAGAAGGCCAAATTGGCCTCTAAAAAGCTTGGCGAGCTCAGCAGAGCGGGACAGTATTTCATGCCGGTACACCGCTTGCAACTTTACAAGGCGCAGGTTCGGCCTCACATGGAATACTGTTCCCATCTCTGGGCAGGGGCTCCCCAGTACCAGCTCCTTCCACTTGACCGCATCCAGCGCAGAGCGGCTCGAATCGTCGACGACCGAGTCCTTTCCGATCGGCTCAATTCATTGGCACTGCGAAGAGATGTTGTATCCCTTTGCATTTTCTTTCGCATCTACCACGGGGAGTGCTTTGAGGAATTGTTCGGATTAATCCCAGCCGCCAAATTTCACGAAGGCACAACACAGCAGAACTCCCGATACCATCCACACCATCTGGATGATTGGCGGTCCACCACTGTGCGATTTAGAAGATGTTTTCTTCCTCACACCACTTCCTTGTGGAATCGATTACCATCAGCGATTTTTCCGGACCGATACGACTTAGGGACCTTCAAGAAAAGAGCGTACTCCTTTTTAAAAGGCCGGCAACGCATCTACGATTCCCTCCCTGGTATTGCAGCTGTTCATGGGCGGCGGTAGTCACTTACCATCAGGTGAGCCGCATGCTCGTTTGCCCCCTCTCCTATAAAAAAAATAGTTTATTCCAATGTTTTAAATACGCCATAGTGATGAAAGTCATCGGTTACGTCATAAATAAGCAAAAATTTAATATAATATTTATTTTATTTTATTTATTATGACGATCCTAAATCCGTTAAAAGTGTGAAGGTAAAATTAGAATCCTAATTCGCGTGATGTAGTTATTGACATAAGCATTAGTAGTGAGCGTGTCACTAAGAAAGTGAACAATAGGCAAAAACCTTGTGAAGTGAATTACTCACACAGGAGCGCACGTAAGCGTAGTTGTTGTTCATAAATCACATTAAATTTGGGATAATTTCAAATAAAAGTAGAAGCCTTATTTACTCGTATTTTCAAAAACTGCAATAACGTTATATTATTATTTATATATTTGAAATTAAGTATAAAATTTCCATACTCTTTGAATAATAACCATGTATATTACTTAAAGTCCGCGCATTCTATCTTGGCCGGGCTGATGTTGGCTTTTGCGCATGTACAGACGCTAGTCGATAGAGATGGGCTACTTCATATTCGCTCCTAACATTGTTTAGGGATACAGTTTATTTTGCTTATATCGATTATTGAAAATTATTATTATAATGAAAATAGCTTTATGTATTTAAATGAAACAATAGTATCTAATATAGAATTACGATAAGCAGTTGGAATATATAGTAAAATACACAATATTAGCGAGGACAACAAATTCTTTCAGTAACCCCTAATATAACTTTAAATCTTTCAATAAAATCATTAATGCCACATATTAAGGTATATTGACTGACTGAGTTGAGTCTTGTGGATACCACTGTTTTTCTCGGTATTAAGCTATTGACGCGATACTTCAATGGGGCCCCCATATATCTAAATTAGCAAGCAGACTTAGTTCTGCAGCATATGCTGTAAGAAAGATTAGAAGTCTCACAGATATTGAGACAGCTAGGTTAGTGTATTTTAGTTACTTTCATAGCGTAATATCTTATGGAATTTTGCTATGGGGTAATGCGACTGATATTGAAGCTATATTTGTTTTGCAAAAGAGAGCCGTACGGGCGATTTATAATCTAAATTGTAAAGAGTCCCTTAGAGAAAAATTTAAAGAAATAAACATATTAACTTTGACATCGCAATATATTTATGAAAATGTAATGTATGTACATAAAAACATAAATAGCTTTAATAAGAATAAGGATGTTCATACCTTAAACACTAGGAACAAACATAAGCTTGTAATGCCACTTACTAGACTCCACAGAATTAGTAATTCATTTATGGGGCAATGTATACGCTTTTACAACAGAATCCCAGAACATGTTCAAAGTTTGTCAATAAACAAGTTTAAAAGTTTTATTAAAGAAAAACTGTACAAAAAGGGTTATTATAATATCAAGGAATACATGAATGAAAATAACCCCTGGGAATAAGGTGATCGCCACCATACTGGTTCTATGAAAATTCATTTAAAATTGTATAAACAAAATTATTGTTAAGTGAAATTATGTTTAAAAAAAAAGTCCCGCTGGGTTTCTTGCTGGTTCTTCCCAGGACAGAGGTATTTTCCGAACCAGTGGTAAATAAAATAATGACTTTCAATAAGTATTATGTAATAATCCATACTGAATAAAAATCATTCTATTCTATTCTATTCTACTGGTAGAGAATACATTTAGTCATTCAGCCCACCTTTTGTATCCTTTTTTTTTGTTAAAAAAATTTAAAATATAATGAAATAATCACTGTAAACAATAAATATGTGTGCAGTTCACACGCGATAGAACTGAAACCTTTAGAAAATTGCGAGAAAAAATATTGCTTTGTAATAGCGTAAAATCTATTTTATTCGATAGGCAAAGGCAAAGGCATTTATCAAACAAAAATTGATTGACATTCATGGTGGTACGTAAAAAACTACTAATTTAATATAAATCGGTAAGTAATATAATCGTGGATTGTTATGAATGGATTGGTTAAGATAATTTTTTTCAATATGGTTAATTTTATTTATTTAATACATTTGTGAATTTTCTAAAGTTTTTATGTTTACAGTTAAAAGTTATATTAATCACCCATAATGCACCGCACAAAGAGGAGACGAAGATAATAGGAAACTATATAAATTACTCTATCTCATTCTCTCGCAAGCTAAATCCTATAGATGTATATATTTGTTTCTTATTAGTGTCGCTTTCTCGTTTCATCGAGTTTCAAATCACAACGATTATATAGAAGTTTTCACTTGAATAAATAAAAAATAAAATCGAATTATAATCGATTTTACGTAACATTTTTTAATCTATGGTAACCACGCAATAAGCATGTTCGCATCTCTGTTTTTGTTACCGTTCACCATCCTACTCCTCTTGTCACCATTTTCATTTTGTTCCTAAAACTATATTTGCGCAGCCTCTCGTGACTAACTTCAGCCCGGCCAAGATAGAATGCGCGGATTTTACTAAACATAACTATTAAAACAAACTCAAAAGGTTCATCACTTTGTTATCTGTAACAGTCTTATAATAAGTAAAGTAAATTTTATTAATATTATACATTGTCTATGATAGATATTTGTCTATACTATACAGAGAAGATACTAACAGGCGGCGCTACTGCCAGGGCGCGGCGAAACCGAGCGGCGATTGAAGCTTGACTCGGGAGTCTCATTGTCACTGAAAATAAAAATTAAAAAATTAGGCAAACCAAATGTGTTGAAAATTTACACGAATTTGATGAGTGCTCGTGTAGCAAGAATACATTTTAATACCACAGCCTTTTCTAAATGGGCCAGCTTGTATGCATTACTGACTCAAGTAACATAGAGTTGAATGATATGTTATCATCTTTAATATCATAAAAAATAAAGCTTGCTAAAAATGTTTAGCTACCTTACTATATTTTTCGTTTAATACTACAAAATGCCAGGAACTTCGACCGCATGATATTTTTTTACTTATAGTTTAATGAATGAGCTTATTTTGATTAATGATAATAATATTCAATCGACCTGATGAAACATGCAGGGAGAGAATTGATGCAGGTGACTTAAGAATGTGCTATGTGACGATCTTGGGAGAGGGTTATAATCAGAGAATTCTATCTCTTATTCTCAGAAGGTGGTTCAGCAGTAGACGTGTTAGGTTGTAATTATTTATTTATTGGCCATTTCGTTACATTACATAACATTGGTACGTCAAAATTATTATTGAAATGATATAAGATTACACTAAATTATTAAAATTGCAAATTAATATACATCTACATTTACATTATTTTACATGTCACGCAAGCCAGAAAATTAACATTTCATATATTCTTCTATGTTATAGAAAGCGTGATTCAAAAATAATGTTTTTGTCACTTGTCAAAGCGCGTTTAATGGAAGTCTTGTTATTTCTAAAGGCAATTTATTGTACATTTTCATATTTAATGGAAAACCTTGCTTGACTAATCTGGTTCTTGGAACAACTAATCTTTCGCGATTTCTTGAATTGTAGTTGTGTACGTGCATCTTCATTGACAGTTCACTTTTTTGCTGGTGCACTTCCAGAAGAGAACTATAAATATACAACGACACGACAGTCATGATTTTCGCTTTTTGGAAAACAATATGCAAAATAGACGGATATTAGAGTTTTCCTGTCAATAATGGGCTTATGCTTAAATAAGGCGTAATTTGCACTGGCTAACTTTTTACAAACATTATCTATATGGGTTTCATAACTTAAAGTGGAATCGAGAGTATACCCTAAAAATGTGACTTCACTATTTGTGACTATTTGCTTTTTTGCTTGCATTATTATGGTACTTTTTTCTGCATTCAAAATTATTCCGTTTGCTTCAAACCATTTTCTCAGTATATTTAAAATTACATCTGTCTTCTTGGTTACTTGAAATGCGTTTTTATCTTTAATAGCAACCTGATACACAGGTATCCGCAAATAGTGTAAACATCGCCCAGTCAGGTAAATTTTTTGCAAGGTCATTCACGTATTTAACGGTGGTAGAGCCCTGCAGCAGTTTTTTGCTGTTGCACGTTTGGGCCGGCTCGAGCCGGGTTGGTACCACGACCTCACAGAATACCGGCGTGAAGTAGAGGCTCTGCTTCTGCGTTTCGTCTGGTGAGTGCAGGTGGCCGGAGGCCCAATTCCCCCCCCCCCCCCATCAACATGGTAGCGGAATTAGACAATAGACTACCCCAGGAGGGTACCAGTACCCCTGGAGAATCCCTCGCTGAGCATCCACGACCATGTTATTCCAATCCTGAGCGTGGGTGCTCAGGCTGCCCCGCGTATTCTGGGGGGGGCAAAATTCCGCTCAAAAACAAAACTGCTCGGGGCAAGCTGAGCAACAATACCAAGGCGACCCCTGCCACGCTATCCGTGAATTTCTGCAACATCAGGGGACTTCACTGTAACCTAAACGCCGTCCACTACCATCTCGAGACGGCGAAGCCGGCCTTGCTCTTTTTGACCGAGACGCAGGTTTCCTCTCCGACTGATATTTCGTATCTCTCCTACCCGGGGTACAAATTGGAGCACTCCTTTGTGCCTCGGGCTGGAGTTTGCGTGTATGTTAGAGAGGACATCTGTTCTCGACGCCTCGGCAGTCTTGAAGGTTCGGACCTGTCCATCCTTTGGCTATGCGTAGACAGCGACGACCATCCGCGCGTCTACGGGTGCCTCTATAGGTCCCATAGCGGTAATGCCGAAACAGACCGACTCATCGACCACGTCCAAATGGCTACAGATTCCTTGCTACAACAGGTCCCATCCGCAGAGATCGTGATCCTTGGCGATTTTAACGCCCACCATGCCGAATGGCTCGGTTCACGTTTAACCGATCATGCGGGGAGATCTGTTTATGACTTTGCCTTGGCATATGGTCTGACACAACTGGTTACTTCGCCTACGCGGATTCCAGATGTTGAGGATCATACACCTTCCCTGTTGGACCTTCTGCTGACCTCTCATCCGGACGGATATCAGGTTTCCGTCGATGCCCCTCTCGGCTCTTCGGACCATTGTCTGATCCGGAGTATGGTGCCACTCACGCTCCCTTCGCGGTTGCGTTCTGCAGGTTGCCGCCGTGTTTGGCATTACAGGTCGGCGGATTGGGACGGAATGCGGTCTTTCTTTGCATCCTACCCATGGGGGCGGGTTTGCTTCTCGCCGGATGATCCCAGTGCTGTTGCTGACTCTGTCACTGATGTGGTGCTACAGGGAATGGAACTATTTATTCCATCATCTGTGGTACCCATCGGAGGCAGATCTCAGCCTTGGTTTGGTCGCTCCTGTAAGACTGCATTGCGCAGTAAGCAGGAGTGTTATCAAGCCTGGGCTGCAGCTTCGGTGACTCGGGATGTAAACACCAGCACACTTAAAAAGAAGTATAACTTCGCCTCCAGGTCCTTCAAAAGAGTTATTGCCTAGGCAAAGTCAGAGCACATAGGCAGAATTGGCGAGAAACTAGTTCGCCTTCCTTCGGGAACCCGTGCATTCTGGTCTCTCGCCAAGGCTGTCCAAGGGAATTTCTGAAAGCCATCACTACCATCTCTGCACAGGGAGGATGACTCACTGGCCCATGACGCAAAAGACAAAGCCGACCTTTTAGGCTCCCTTTTTGCGTCCAACTCGACTCTTGATGACGGGGGGAAAACACCGCCGACCATCCCGCGGTGTGAGTGCTCCATGCCGGATGTGCTGTTCTCACAGCGCTCGGTTCGCAAAGCACTGCTCTCCCTGGACATCCAGAAGTCGAGTGGGCCTGACGGAATCCCCCCAATTGTGCTGAGGACGTGTGCTCCGGAGTTGGCACCGGCCCTAACGCGTCTTTTCCGGTACTCCTACTCCCAAGGCGTAGTCCCGAATTCATGGAAGACAGCTTTTGTCCACCCGATCCCTAAAAAAGGCGACCGCTCAGACCCGTCCAACTATAGGCCTATCGCGATCACCTCCTTGTTCTCCAAAATAATGGAATCCATTATTAACTGCCAGCTCATCCGGTACCTTGAGGATCACCAGCTGATTAGTGACCGCCAATACGGTTTTCGTCGGTGTCGATCAGCTGGTGATCTTCTTGTCTACCTGACCCATAGATGGGCGGAGGCAGTAGAGTCCAAGGGGGAGGCGTTGGCCGTTAGTCTGGACATTGCGAAGGCCTTTGATCGGGTTTGGCACAAAGCGCTTCTTTCAAAGCTGCCTTCCTATGGGCTTCCCGAGAAATTGTGCAATTGGATCACCAGCTTTCTTGCAGATCGGAGCATCAAGGTCGTTGTAGACGGTGCATGTTCTGACTACAAGCCTATTAACGCTGGTGTTCCACAAGGCTGTGTGCTATCACCAACGCTGTTTCTTCTGCATATCAATGATATGTTGCTAACTGATAACATTCATTGCTATGCGGATGACAGCACTGGTGATGCTCTATACACCGGCCGGGCCAATATTTCTCGGGAAAACGTCGCCGAGTACCGGAACAAACTTGTGTCTGAAGTCGAGTCTTTGCTGGACAAAGTCTCGGATTGGGGGCGACTAAATCTAGTCCAGTTTAATCCTCAGAAGACACAAGTTTGCGCGTTTACCGCTAAAAAGAACCCCTTTGTCGTATCTCCTCAGTTTCAAGGCACTCCCCTTCTTGCCTCAGCCAGTATCGGTATCCTCGGAGTCGACATATCGAGTGACGTGCAGTTTCGTGGTCACTTGGAAGAGAAGGCCAAATTGGCCTCTAAAAAGCTTGGCGTGCTCAGCAGAGCGGGACAGTATTTCATGCCGGCACACCGCCTGCAACTTTACAAGGCGCAGGTTCGGCCTCACATGGAATACTGTTCCCATCTCTGGGCAGGGGCTCCCCAGTGCCAGCTCCTTCCACTTGACCGCATCCAGCGCAGAGCGGCTCGAATCGTCGACGACCGAGCCCTTCCCGATCGGCTCGATTCATTGGCACTGCGAAGAGATGTTGCATCTCTTTGCATTTTCTTTCGCATCTACCATGGGGAGTGCTCTGAGGAATTGTTCGGATTAATCCCAGCCGCCAAATTTCACGAACGCACATCGCGGTAGAACTCCCGATACCATCCACACCATCTGGATGATTGGCGGTCCACCACTGTGCGATTTAGAAGATGTTTTCTTCCTCGCACAACCTCCTTGTGGAATAGTTTACCACCAGGGATTTTTCCGGACCGATACGACTTAGGGACCTTCAAGAAAAGAGCCTACTCCTTTTTAAAAGGCCGGCAACGCATCTGCAATTCCCCTGGTGTTGCGGTTGTTCATGGGCGGCGGTAGTCACTTACCATCAGGTGAACCGCATGCTCGTTTGCCCCCTCTCCTAAAAAAAAAAAAAAAAAAACGTATACTAAAAACAGCAATGGTCCCAGGATGGAGCCCTGCGGCACGCCAATGTAACTTATACTGTGGATCGGACTTAGCATTATTTAGATTAACTATTTGAATTCGATTTTTAAGATAAGACTGCATGATACTCAATTCTTTTCCTTCAAATCCGTAAAATTTCAGTTTATTAATTAAGATATCGTGCCGCAAACAATCGAAAGCCTTGGATAAATTGCAAAAAATGATAGATACCTTCTGTGATCCATCCAAAGCGTTCAATATGAAGTGTACTGTTTTTCTAATAGCCATTTTCTATATTAGCAACTTCAAGCGTT